AATCCATGCGGTACGTCATATTTATAATAATCTTCCCTCAAAAATCCCACACGAGATGAAATTTATGGCTTGATATACAGAGGTATAAGGTCTTATAAACCACTTAGTTGTAAAGACTGACATAATAAAACATATACAACGACATAGAAACAAACATAGATCACCCAAAGAAATTATTCATGACCATACAAAAAGAAAAGGCCATGAACAGAGGATTATTATAATCTTAATACTACTGAATACGCCAGTCCAAGACATTGTGAAGCAATAAAAGATGTAAACTTACAAATATTTTTTTATATGACTGAAATAAAAAAAACTTAAAAGAAAAGTTCTAGCCATGACCTACCTAATCTTTAATGAAGCCACCAAAAATGCAAACGACAAGAATTTACACATGGGAGCAGCCAAAAACGAACTATTATCCATAACACATCATCAAGTTTTACCATTATGCCAATTGAAAACATGCCACAACAGGAAACTAGCAACCTGGAGCTATACCATAAAAAGCGATAACCTATCCAAGGTTCGCTTTACTCCAAAGAAATACCTACAAGCAAAACGTTAGATTATAAAGCGACTTACCCACCTGTTCTATCAAAGCACTCATTTCTTTTAATGATGTTCATATAGCAAATCTTTAACAACTACCGGTCAAAATGCGGATAGTACTACTGTCTTCCTTTATACAAAACTTAAGCGAGAAGTGTACGTTCCACATATCCCGAGGGCACTACCTATTTAAAGACTGTTTAGAATCCCGGCCGAGCTACCTTATCTGCACATTACTCAAAACGTAGATATGTATACTACAACTCAACGTTGCCTAAAAATGGTCTTAAAGATTCCGCTCGACTTTTGCAAAGATTTAACTCAAAGGTTACAAAAATACAAATATATATTAAGCAAGATTGACGCATGCATTCTTTTCTACGAAAACTTCGAGCCGATCAATGAAATATAAGTCGATGACTGGATAATAACAGGAAAACACAACACATTCATGCGAACACAACATCCTCAGAAACTACTGCGAGAAAAACTATATTAGGTATCAACACCATAATCAGATAAGAAGATATTGATGAACCAAAAAATAAAATTGAGCAACTTACCCAAATGATTAATATAAGTAAAAATGAGACATAAACTTCTACTTCCTTCACGAATAAAATTATAGTCCTCTGAGAAGTACAATGAAATTAATGCGGGATACTATACACCAGTTCTCCTAGGAACATAGCAGAATGTACTAGTCCCGATATTGCATATACTCTCACATTACTTGAAATATTTATGCATAATAGTATTAAAACGCATCTAGTAATGGCAAAAAAACTAGTAACTGTATATTTCTACAAAACAAAAAATATCAACCTACTTATAATGGGTAATAATAGCGAAGAGAATAATATACCAATAGAGTGTTATACCGCAAATAATTACAAATTCCACACCACCATGGGACACAATGATAAGAAACGAAATTCTATACATTGGAAGTCGAACGTAGACAAAAGTAAAATATAAAAGTCATCCTGCGAAACTGGTAAGGCTCCAAAAAAGGCAAAGATACATAAACAACTGAAAACCTAACTCGTGAACTATTGTCAGAGGAAAAAATTAAAGTAAAATTTCTTACTAATTAAGAAGCGGTGAAGAACAGTAGCAGAGGATTCCGATAAAAGACTTCGACGTATGTAAATATCTTATCACCATTTTAAACAGGAATTAAAAAAGAATAACTATGAACTCAAACTCAACACCCTAAATAATAACCAAGCAAATACTTTCACTAAATCACTTTTTAGACTAAAACACAGTATACAAAAACACTCAAGACACAGTTCATAACACAAAACACAGATAGAAATACGTAGAAAAGCAACATAGAACACAATAATAAAAGTGTAATACCTTATTTATATAATACACTAACCATGAAACACAAATACACAAAAACAAGCCATCCGTAAATAAACCAATCATGAGAAACAGCCACCAGATATTAAATTTACCACCACTTACAAAGTAATTTGACAATTGGATCCATATTGAACAACTTTTATAAAGACTAATCAGGTTCAATTAAATTTATTATACAAATATGGAAGCATTTTTGGACTTTTAGTAAAGGTATGAAAACAAACCGAAAGCTAGTTCAATAGCATTCCTCGGTTTAGCATACTTATATCTTTTTTTTTAATATTTTATTTTATGTACTACATCATCTTACTTGCTTATTATACACATAATATATACAACTCTCATATTGTGTAATATACTTTCTTATAGACATATAGAGTACGAGAACCTAACATTCTAATGACAAATTGATAGCTACGTATAGTTGATTGGTTGTTAGTGTTTCTTCTCCTTTAGGTGTTGTTTATTATATAAACCGCATCTCTGAGGGCTTCATTCCAGTATTCTTCAGGAAGGTTTCACTCTGTTAGTATGAACCGTGTCGCATTGCAAATAGTTTAAATCCTTCCTTCGCTAAGCATAACTGTGGTGTATTCTTTAGGACGGTGCTCACTGTAATTTTTTCGTTCAGTAATCCTTTTATTAGAAAATTATTAAAAAAATTCGTTGCCCTAGCCGGCATGTATTCGTATTATTAATTTTTCACGTCTTTAAATTTTTGTTATAATTTTTTGTCCATTTAGTAATTTTGTATTTCTTTAAGTTGGGTAAGGAGTATGGTAATATGCTTATTTGTTAGCATCTGTTTCAATTACAACATACTATTAATACAATTCTTATATTCCATTCGGCCTATGTATAATAGCTGTCCTAGTTGGCGTTATGGTGGGTAGTGCTAAATTTGTTTTTTGTTTTTTTTTTCAAATTACACTTCCTGCATGTTTCGTAGTGTTTTATTGTGAAGGGTATATATAAAGGGGAGAAATGTTTAGGTTTTGTTAAAGCGGTGTTTTAAATATTATTCTTGTATGGGGGTATTATTCTGCTTAATGATTGTTAGACATTATGGGGGGATCTGCAATAAGCAGTATATAACTTTTTTTTAGTTTTAAGTGCAGTCGCGTTTCTTTTTTCTTATAATTGCCTCGATGTTATTAAATATAATTGTATAACCCTTTCTTCCAGTTTTACTATAATTATAAGATAATGTTTAAATATTTGCCTAGACATTGTCCTACCTTTATCTAGTATAATAACTTTTTACAGTAGTAAGGGTTGAAGTCCTCGCTTTTTGTTTTAGTGTTAATTTCCTTAAATTTTAAATTATTTACAAGTCGTTTGTCATTCTTAAGAACCAATTTAATAGTTCCATCTTCTGGTTCGATTTCGACGTGGTTCTCTATCTCGCCGTTTCGGAAGCATGCGTTTTCATTGTTTGATTATACTGCAGTAGGTACAGCATTGGTTAAGGTTAGGGCATTTGTGTGTAAGACGAGGTTTAGTACCTCAAATGCATTGAATTTTCCTTTTTGTTTTCTTTTAAATTTACGTTGTTTAGTATAGGTAACATCATCTTTCAAGGTTTGTATATGCGTTAAAACGTGTAATTTCCAAAGTGTATAGTTTGTATAGTTTGTATAATTTCTATGGTGTTTATTGTTTTTGTTTAAACTGTATTGAGCTTCCAGCATACTGCGTTTAACCTGATCGTATTGGAATTGTTTATTAGGAATTGTTGTCTAGCCGTCGCTCTTTGTATACTGTATGCCTCTTCTGATCTAGATTTCATCGCTATTGCTTTAAGAATTCTCACCAACTATGGGAGAACTGTTTTATTTTCCTTATCATCAAATAATTGTATAACTAAGGCTGTTAGATATTCGATTCTCCTAGCGTATTGGCGTATGGGTTTCCTCTTCCTTTCGCCTTGCTAAGCGTAATTCTTCAAATTTTTCTCTCAAACGTTAAGGGTGACCTTTTTTCCAAATAATCAGGCCTATAATATCGTTCTTTTGTACTGTTTTTAAAGTCGCTTTTCAGTTTAAAATCGTCTAAATTTCACTTTTTGCCTTCTAGTTATTTAATTTCTCAAGTTATATTTTTTTAAATATTGAAGTTTATGTCTTCAATTATAAAAGAATAGTATTTTGTTTTAACAGTGGTTTAGTTTGACTTGTAATTAGCAAGATTTTGAGTAGTGTTTACAAATTATCTTTGAGACTTGATGAGCTTAAAATAAAAGCTCGTCAAAGATTTTTTAGTTGACACAATCTATAGGAAATACCTTATCTTCTAGAACTTTGAAGTGTAAAGAATTTTGAGAAAGAATTGTTGGAGCTAAACTCTCATTTATTGGAATCTTAAATTTCTTAGATAAAGAGTATGTTGCGACAAATAAAGTTAATTGTGGTTATATATATGTAAAGGAGAAAGCTCATATTATAATTCTATGCCATATTTAAAGGTAAAGGGGAGAGTTGGCTAAATAATCTCTATATCTCTATATTTTCTTTTATTCCAGTTGATATTTTTCACTATAGCAATGAAGGTTTTTACGATCCAACCATAAAGTTTTTGAAATTACTGTATTCTTTAAGGGTCGTTAATAATTTAGAATTATTAAATGAAATAAAGTTTAGTTGCAATATACCCTTGAAGATTGTAAGAACGGATTCAGTGTTGGTTGTAGTTTATATAGAACATAAGAATAATGCAATATTTTCTGGGGGACTCCCACGAAAAGTCTTAATTCACCTAAAAAACAATTATGCTAACTGAGTTAAATTCACTATTGAAAAATTAATATTTTTTTAATTACTTTTTTATTTCCAACCAATAACAGTGTAAAAATAGGTGTTAATCATGAATCAGTAGATCTTTTTAGTATGTAGAAATGAAATTTTAAAAGTAATTAAAATATTATGAAACTTTTTTGTAAAAGAATAAAAAAGATCCTTTGATTTTTTATTATATGAAAAGAAGATTCAACGGCGGCAGCGAAGTAACAGTGCAACATTAAAAAGCGTTTGTTCAAAGTAAATCTACTAGAAATGTTGATGAGCCAATAAAAGAACGGCTCTTTTAAACTTTTAAATTTTGTAATTTATTTTTTATGAGCAAAGATAACGCAGCTAAGCAGCTCTAGATCTTGATACATTTCGATTTTATATAAATCTGTATCTCACATGATCATGACAGTTATATAAAAAATGAAAGCAGTTATACGTCCCGATTTATAATAAGCCTTTGGTTCACGTGCTTCACGACGACGATCCTAAAATTATCGAACGACAAGACGGCAAACTCAAAAATTAAATTTAAGACGAACGGTTGCAAATTAGAAGCAAAAGTCTCGACAGCTTTCTTAGCGCTTTCAAGATTCTGAGAATAACACAAAGACGAAATTTCAACCAGACTATCATATAAAGTTTAATAATTATATACTTTAAAAAATAGTTAGGAATCTTAAAAAAAAATTAAGTTTTAAATTATAAAACAAAACTGTAAAAAAGATTCAGTTGTGAAAAGTTTTGTAACAGAGTCAAACTTGATTATATAATTTATATTAAAATACTATGAGTCTGTGATTTCAGTTAAACTATCATAATCCCCAGGAAATTCAAACTTAGTATATATAAAAAAATAAAGTTAAAAAAAATAATCTTAAGTTAAATATAAACATTTAATTAACATCCACAATAAAAAAGTATATAAAAAACTTTTAAAAAAATTCACCTTTTTAATTTTCGTTACGTACACACTCAGAGGATCTGTTCGAAGATAGTCAAAGACGAGACCTTCTCCATAATATTCATATTGCAAACTATTCTAGTGTGTAAGCCAACTTTAAATAAAAGAATCGGTGAAATCGACACCGCATTCCTAAATCCGATAAAAATTGATCCAAATCCGAATCACTTTCATATATGAAAACTGTTTAGTAACTAATTTTTGAAGTTGTCTATGAAATGTTAAATAAATCCAAAATTTTTTAGTATTATTTATTCCTTAATATTTTCTGTAAAGAAGATATTTTCAATAAATAAAAACAGAAAAATAATTTAAATTTTTATAGTAAAAGTTAACGAGGAAAGTTTACCTTTCTATGTCATCAACTAGTAAAAGAGGTCTAAAAGGTTGTTCAAGGATCTCCCCAGAGTAAATAATTTGCCTTTCATTTAATGTTAAATAAAAAATTAAAGTACTTATAAGAAAAAGACAATACCACTTTGAGGAGGATTCAACAAAGGGATTATACTTTCTTAACTTAACAACAACCGTAAAAGTTTGTTTACAAGATTCTAAAGTAAAAGTACAAGTGCAAGCCTATAAAAGTGTTTATGATTACACCTTCAACTGTGGTTATTGTAGAACTATACGATCTTTTTTCTTTTAAGTTTTCATCCGTAGAAGCAGATTTTGAGTAAACTCTTTCAAGGTAACAAAAACTGTCACCACTTGGGACTCCGCACAAACCTACCTTGAAAAAGGAAAATGATGACTGCTAATAAAGTAAGCTAGCAAACTAAAATTCATTGAAAGTTTATAATATACTCTTAGTTTTTTTTTTTACCCTGCAGTCTATCTAACAATTTATCCAGTGCTTCATTCAAAACACTGCCTTGTATAAGGCATTCTTGAAGTTTGACACGATTGCGCTGGTGCAAAGCGCTCATATCTTATAAATTAGGGCTTACGACGATTTTCTCTTTTGGTTATAAACTATTCGGTTTCAATGGAGCACGCGGTTTTTTTTATCATTATCGTATAGGAAGCAATTTTTTTTTCCCTGCAATCACTGACATCATCACCGCTAAACCTGACGTTGCTGGACTGAATTCGAGGGCGCTGCCATGACGACTCGTCAAGTTGCGCACGGCCCTAACCATCTACAAATAATTGCTGTCCTTAGCTACGAATTTTGACGCTTTATCCGAGGGGCCACGCCGTCACAACACCTCAGAACGAAGTACCGACTACACCTACGCCTAAGGAACTGTAGGCACGCTAAGACCATAATGGGAGATGAAGTTGAGCGACCATTGACTGGTCTTGGTGCACTTGCTGACTTCCCTCTAGTAAAGTACAGGTAACAACGGATCGTTTTTGGGTAACCAAAGTTGAGCAAAAGAGTGAGGAGAAGGGGGCTGCAGAAAGGCAGGGGCTCCTCTCTCTTGTTTTCTTACCTCGGGGAAGGAGGTGAGAGAGCGGATGGTTCCAAAAAGTAGTCTTTAAGATACCCATCGACGGACTGAGATGAAATGGGGAAAACCATAGTTGCAGCGCGCGCCCCACACATTCTGATGTGGGCTAGCCCTTCGAGGTGTTTCTAGTATGCTCTTTTTTGGAGATTAAAAGATAATATATGAAGGGGAAGAGAAGGAGGGCATAAGCAGCGTTAGGATGTGGGCAGAGAGAGCTTCAACTGACCCGTCTTGAAACAAGGGTCAAGAAGTCTAACGTATACGCGAGTCTTTTGAGTGGAAACTCGAGGGCGCAATGAAAGAGACAGCTCCTGTATTATAGCCCGAGCTGAATTGGGAAAGGGGCGGCGATTTTGCTCTCTTTGCTAGCTGCAAGCTGTGAGTAAGAGTGTATCCGCTAGGGCCCGAAAGTGGTGAACTATGACTGAGTAGGGTGAAGCCTGAGGAAACTCAGGTAGAAGCTCATAGAGATTCCTGACGTGCGAATCCATATTCCAACTTGGGTTTAAGAGCGAAAGACCAAGTTTCCCTTGGGAGAGCTAGAACTTTGTTTAGGCAAGTTTAACCAGGTAAAGCGAGTGGCTAGAGGACACCATAAGGTGGGGGATCCCCCTCCGCTTCGATGGTTATCCTTGGGGAACCTAGGACTATAAACTTATTATTAAACTTTAAGTGGGTAAGATACACCACTTGTTTTAATAAAGCCGGGAAAAGAAAAGTGGGAATAAAAAAAAATTAATAATCCGAATGCCAACAGTTCCAAGTCCGATCGAGACATGGTGGACCGAAAGAGAAGTTAAAGTGCCCGAATACGCGCTCACTACATACAACAAAAAGTGTTGATTGAAATAAGACAGCAGATCGGCGGCCATGGGAGTCGGAGTCCGCTATGGAGTGTGTAATAACTCACCTGCCGAATCAATTAGCCCTGAAAATGGATGGAGCTTAAGCGTGTTACTTACACTTCACCGTCATCCTAAAGGCGAGACGCTAACGAGTAGGAGGGAGTGAGCCAAGAAGCTTTAGTGCAGAGCGTGGCGGTAGTAGCATCTATTCAAAGGAGAAAAATTATTTTTTACACAGCGAAAAAAATTTGGGGAGGGCGACCCGGGTAAAGGGAGAGGGTTTCTTCTCTTCTGAGGTCCCCTTTTATAAAAAAGCTTGAAGACCGAGGTGGTGAAAATTTCCGTGTAATCGGTGTAAACGGCAGTTGGACACGAGTTTGTCGCTTCAAGGAGATAGGGAGTTCTGTTTTTATGTGGTATACCTCTTTGGGGTCTTACCCCCCCTTCTTTTGAGTAAGTATGAAAAAAGGGAGTATGTGGGGGAGTGGGGGAGGGGGTGTGAAAAAGTTTGTTTCGTTTTGAGGTGGTGGGATCTCCACTATGACTTTAGACTAAGGTGGGACTCTAAAACGCCTAATAAATAATGTAATATGAATCTTCATATATAATAGGGCTAGCCGTAAACAAGTAAAAGAGAGGAGAGGAGAATGACTCGAAAAAAAGAAAGGAAAAATCGCTCGCAAACTCTCCTTCTTTTTGAAAAAATAGGGGAGGGAAGGGGCCCTAGGAAAGCACCAACTATCGAAAGGGATTCAAGCTAATAATCTGAACTACAACCAGATTCCAGAACAATTAAATAATTTTAGGTGGCGCAAACGAACCTGGGGACGCCTGTAAGAGTTTCGGGAGGGTATTTTTTTCTTATTAACAACATGGGCAGGTAGGCCCTGAAATAAGGTTAACTGGAGAAGGGGCTAAGTCCTTAGTAGAGCAACCATTTATACCCTTTCCTTTTTTCTGGGAGGAGGGGTTCACAAGCGCGGGGTGCACTTTTTATGTTCCGTGGAAAATCAAGGGAAGAATAGTGTTGAAAGCGAGAAATAATTTTTTTTTTAATTTTTTCTATTCTCATGACATTGTGTGTGGTCGTACTCATAACCGCAGCAGGTCTCCCAGGTGAAAAGCCTCTAGTTGATAGAACACTGTAGGTAAGGGAAGTCGGTGAACTAGATCCGTAACTTCGGGAGAAAAATCGACTCTTAGGTTGGGGCTTTTTCTTTCTCTCTCCCCCTTTCTTTCCCCCACTTGGTGAAAGATGGAGAGGAGAGTTGGTGATGGCGGCCACGTATCCTTTTGGCAATTTAATAAGACAGAAACAGAGCATAATTACTATTACTTTAACAGTAAACGGTGACTTTGCAGATTAATTAATTAGAAATAAAACTTTAATCTTTATTTTGGATGGCAAATAAATAAAGAAAGTGGCCAAGGTGAGTACAGCGATTTCGTACTATGTATATAGTATTTTTATTATTGTTTTGCATGATTTAATCAGACTAAATTTTTGGTCTTCTAAGATTATTTAATTTTTGGTGCTATTAACATATGTCAGTTCTATTCACATATTAGTTTTGAGTAGTAAAACCAAATTCCCTTATTTGTAGAAACAAAAATTTATGATTATGATTTTGTTTGTGCTTTATTAATTTAAAATTTGTTAATTGTTTGCTTAAATGTTATCACAGATAATATGCTTCTAAGCCATACCCTCGTTGAGGCCCAAGAAAAGTTTTAGTCGACCCCCACAGTTGAGATTAAAAATTTTAATTAAACTCTACTCAGTAAAAGCACTCGATAGTTTCTTTGTGTTGCGAGGGAAGACGGCTACTGTTTGCTGCTCCACATCAAAACTAGCTTCCAAGTTTAACAAATTGAAGTCTCTATGAACAGTTGAAAAAGTAGCTAAGATACTGCGCCGCGTAAGTGAAGTCAAATTGGGCATTCCGTGCCTTCAATTCTAGAAAAGCAAATTGTGTCATCTTTTTTAATGTCAAGAAAGTGTTTGACCGAGTTTAACACATGGGCTTGCTACCTAAGTTGGGAGTCCTTCCTTTACTATCCTTTTTAACGTGCTCAAATCATTATCTTAAGGACAGGATCTTTAATACATGTGTGGGCAATGCGCGTGCACCCTCAAAACTACTCACAAGCGGGGGGGGGCCTCAAAGGCTTTCTCTTCATCACCTTTACTCATTGCACTTTACGTAGGTATTATGTTACAGCCCTACTACTCTTCTACGCGGGTTGATTTATACGGAGATAACACGATGATCTCGTCAACTCATCAGCCTTTTTGAGACTCGTCATCTGATATCATACGTATAGCACTAGTAATGAAAAAAAAGAAAAGTCCTTATCACGATCAAGCTCGCAGCACCATCACTGCCGCTGTTTTTGACAGCAAGGTAGTACCCTGGTGTTCTCAGGCGAACTATTTGAGGGGCGCTCTAAACTAATAAAAATACTTTTTGGTTAATGAAATAAATGAAGTTTATCGTACACATAAATTAGAGAATGTTCCACTATCAGTCAAGAGCTAGAAATAGTAAGATTATACATCTCATACGTGCGTATGATAATTACACTATGCACGCTTTGGATTTTTCACAAAACAAGTTGTTTGCAAAAGTTCTAGCTACTTAAAAGATCTATATTGGTGAAATAGCCATTATAAGCAAAATAACCCCTTTTAGACTTTGATGCTAATGTTTAGGTATATTATTGTTAAAATAGACAGTATTCCGTAATGCGTTGCTTTAGTAAATGAAGAAAGATGAAATTTAGATTTCTAATCGTTTGTAATTTCTTTTCAGTAATCAATAAATCCTGTCCTTCTTTCCTCTAATATCGCAAAGGGTATTAATGTTTAGTTTAGATATCTAAAAGTTCAATATGTGTTCTGGCGCCTAGTGCGCTTGTCTACTGAGAATAAAACTACGATATTTATTTATTTGTTATCATTGCATTTCTTCATATTAATATCACATGTTAAGCATAGCGCAGCAGGCAATACATTACAAGTAAGGTAAAGTAAAGAAGTTATTGGTCTAAAATGTGGAGTGAAGCTAAAAATGACTTTTCCAAAGCAGTATTTAGAACAACTGATAACTGATGTGCATACTGTTCTTATTAATCTGGCAACTTTAATGGTTCATTAAAACAGACGCATCTGCAACGCTGGCTCACCACTCGTCGGTTATAACCCATTTTCATTTCAAGTGAGCCAGCTATTTACAAAAATTGTCTTTATCTGTTTACTTTTTATCATAGCCATTATATAAGAGTAGGCGCTCGATATATTTTCTTAGTTAAAGCGAAATAGTGCACCCAGTCGTTTAACTTAACCATGTAAGTCACACTGTGTTGCTTAACTTAATCTATGCTTATGAAGTTTATTTTAGGTTGTCTTCTAGATTACTTTCTATTTTCGATTTACAAAAATTATTAAATAATTTTGTTACGTATTTAACATACAAAGAAATGGTCTTTACACCGTTATTCGTGCATTATTTGCCCACACTCGCAATTGCTGTATTTGCTGGAAAGGACTGGTCACTAAGTAACACATATATATATATGTATGTAACCATTAGGAATCTTCTTGAAC